CATGTAGTATACATATAAACCTTCCTCTTAAATCACTCCATCCATTGCTAAAACTGCATTAAAATCTGTTACGTAGATTAAAAGATCTAAGAGAACACATTTTATTCTATTATCTTATATTATATTTTCTAAGATGTAATCTTAGTTACACAACACCATACAAATTCCTATTCTTTTAAAATTAAATATGATCCAATGCTATATTAAATTATAGTAAGATCATATAAAATATATTATAGTATAATGAATATAAAGGCATATCCATTCTTATGAATACACAAGTGACATCGCCAATGCCCGAAATACAGTGCGGGCGACGCGTCGTAAATCGCGGCGCGGTTCGGCGAGGGCCTTTGTGTGGCCTCGGCAAGCAAAAACATACCTACCTACCTACCAACTGCCTACAGTCTACCTACTTGCTTACTAAACAAACCGCTGATACTCGCCCGAAGCGTCCAATAGATCTAGATACGAGTATGAGAAAGTGGCCGCCTACCCGCAGTTCACTTCACTCCACGTGTAATGTCTGAAATTTTAGTCAGATTATAAACGCGGAAGCTTGTGAGTATGGATGGATGGATGTTACTTTTAATATGTAATAGTGTATGTTATCTGTGCTCTTACTAAGGATTTAATGAAGCTTCACAATAATATGGATTATACATCAGACTAGTACAGGTTATATGAAATATCTATATGAAAACGTCAACGAAATCACTTGCATTAATTAACCGACTTTAAAAAGAGTAGGTATATGGTAAATATATTTACAATCTCTGCGAAGCTATTCAGTGATGTTTTCAGAAAAAAGCATTCTATTTTTTATGTACCTATGCATTCTCTACGTACGGACATCAAGGGTTCGATTTATATGGATATTTTATTTGGAAGATTGAGATTTATAAATCAAAAACTATGTATTATTATTTCTTCACTCTGGTTATACTAAACACTAGTAGACTCACCAAATATACCCAGGATGGGTCAGGCAAACCACGTTATATCCTCTCTCTATTACAATAATAACAATACCCCTGGACAATTCACACAACGCCATCTAGTAAAAAGCTAAGCAGAGGTTGTGTTATGGGTACTAGACACTGGATTTAAGTACTTACTAACATTAGTAGTAATATTTTATGTATATACAAAAATTAAAAAGATAATGACCTATATAAATGAAGACATGAAAATTTTGCTTTGATTTGATTTAACGAAAGTGGATACAATCTGATTCTTCTTTTTATGACAATGGAATTGTGCTCCCTTCTGCACTAACGGTTTACGCTGGCGGGACACCAGTGGAGGATGATAAGATGAGCATGAGGTCAGGTTCGTTAGCCCATCCTGACATATCCACTAGGAATTTATCGCGATGGTTTCAAAGGGGAACCGCATGGAGATAAACCGACATAGTTGACACTGTTGACCCTAATGCTGGCAATGTAGCAAAAGGGTCAACAGTCCATATTACTAAAAATCCCTTTACCCCCAGTAGACTATTATATCATACTACTAGCTACTGGGGGGAAGGGGATTGTTAGTAATGTGGATTGATAACCCCATTGCTAGCAATGGTGCCATGTCGGGTCGACCTCCACGCGGTTCCCCCTGGAAACCATCGTGTTAAATTCCTGGTGAATTTGTCACGATGGGCTAACTGTGACCTCATGCTCATCTTATCATCCTCCACTGTTGCCCCGCCAGCGTAAACCGTTAGCGCAGGCGGGAGCACCATTCCATTGTCACCCACAAAAAAAAAAACTACTAGCTACTGGGGGGAAGGGGATGTACCATGTCAGATCGACCTCCACGCGGTTCCCCCTGGAAACCATCGTGATACATTCCGGTAAATTTGTCACGTTGGGCTAACTAACCTGACGTCATGTTCATCTTATCATCCTCCACTGGTGCCCCGCCAGCGTAAACCGTTAGCGCAGGCGAGTGCAACATTCCATTACCATCCTTTAAAAAACTACTATCTACTCCACGCGGTTCCCCCTGGAAACCATCCTGATAAATTCCTGGTGAATTTATCATGATGGTAGATAGCTAACTAACCTGAACTCATGCTCATCCTATCATCCCCCACTGGTGCCCCGCCAGCGTAAACCGTTAACGCAGGCGGGAACATCATTCCATTATCATCCACAAAAAAAAACTACTAGCTACTTGGAGGGAAGGGAGATTGTTAGCAATGTGGACTCATGGCCCCATTACTAGCAATGTACCATGTCAGGTTAACCTCCACGCGGTTCCCCCTGGAAACCATCGTGATAAGTTCGTGGTGAGGTTGTCACGATGGGCTAACTAACCTGTCCTCATGTTCACCTTATCATCCTCCACTGGTACCCCGCCAGCGTAAACCGTTAGCGCAGGCGGGTGCACCATTCCATTATCATCCATAAAAAAGTCAGTTCAGAGATTAGCTGGAACAAACAGACAGACATAGAAAAATTGTAAAAAAAATTATTTAGGTGTATATACCGTATTTATCTTCATATGCATGTAGTAAAAAACAGTTATTTCAATATTACAAACACACTCCAATTTCATTTTTTATGTATAGATACGATATTCACAGCCGAGATGAATTTCGTCAATATTAGTGGATCGATCAATACCGAAATTATTTTTAGAAACAAGTCCATAGTCGTTAGGAACAAGTCAGTCTCCCTAATGATTGTGTTTACTAATATCGCATGCATTAAAGGTTATCTAGGTGACACGATCTATCCTTCAAGTTCAAGGAATTTGAGTATATATCTATACAAATAAATATAACTTGTCTGTTTATAATTTCATATTTACAGCTTTTGATAATAATAAATGCATATGAATGTACGTACGATACTTGTAATATTTTTTTTTGTCTGTATGTTTGTTCTTGCTAATCTCTGAAACGGCTCTACCGATTTTGTCGGAACTTTCACTAACAGATACCTGATGTGGTGTAATTTAGGGTATTTTTATTTTAGAAAAATTATTTATTTTAATTAAATTAAAAGTTCAGCTCCAAGTGGATGCACTCGCAAGTAACAGCTAGTTATAGTCATATGTTAATAACTATGTGTATAGATGGTATTTCTTTCTTACATCAACATAGTAATTTATACCGTATCCAATAATAAAAACAATAAAATAAAATAGCATAAAACGGAAACTTTAAAAAGTCCAACAAAATAGCTCTATAAATCTGTTCTTCAACTAAAAATGAAAAGATAGACTGCAATCTGAACATATCTGCATAAATAGCTAAGAACCATCTCTATCTAGTCTACGAATAAAACAAACATCAAAACCGGTTCATCCATTTATAATGCCATAGACAAACATATAGATAGACATTAAACTTAAAAATAAAAATAGTATAGTAACTAGCAACAAGTAATAAACGAACTCACAGAAAGTAAGAAAGAATTAATTTATGTACATATCAGTACACTCTAAGTATTGTTTTATTAGCCTATGATTTATAAGACGTAACATAACGTCCCATCCCTTATTTCTTTCACTTTTCTCTGTGTATACTATTAGTTACTGAATAATCTTTATTATTACTTATCAAGTTACTACAAAAAGGAGTTGTTCAATTCGACTGGTGTATTCCTCAGAATTAAAAAAAAATATATTAATTATTCTTCATTTATTAGCTGATACTTCTGGTATGGCCCATTTGGTGAATACCTAATTCGTATTGGGTTTTCTCTTAAATGATACAACTCAAGGCAGTTTTTTCGTAGCTTACACGATATTATCTAAATACCTCAAAGTCTTCTACCTACATCTACATGTCTTGTTGTAAGTAGAACGTGGTTTACAGCGATGACTTTTTATTTCATTCAAAATATTCAGAGCAAACAAGAAATGTAAATGAACAATATTCCGTGTTTCGTTACTTTTTGTGTTGCAAATAAAGCATACTCTTTCTTTTTGTCGCTCTCTCTCTCTCTCTCTCTCTCAGAACCATATAATATTATATATATAGAGATCTCAGAACTATATAGTAGATATATATACGAGTATTTTGGTAGCACAGTTAACGATGCTACAAAAACAAATATTTGATAAAAACTGTAAATACAACTTTCCACACTTACTACAGCCTACGATAATTAACGTTAGCTAAACATTGTATTCATAATTTGTAGCAACGGCTACGAAGTTCTACTGAGTCTACGGACACTATTTAGTTATCTGTGGTATACAATAAATAGTCTACATTGGTAATAAATATAGTCTATTATTCTATCATTATATACTCGATATTGTTCCCGTGAGACTCCGTTGTGTTTCCTGGTGGAATTTCAGTTAATTCATATAAATACAGTACAAACTGACCCACAATCAACATATGTACTTTCCAACATAAAGTGTTTTACGTAAATTTTATAAATCATGCAAATATGTAGGTGTAATATTGCATAGTACATTAATTAATACAGACAGATATCATTTAATAAATGCAAATATGATTTAGATTTTACAATAACAGGATTCATAGTCGTAAAGAATGTGTAGGAGTGCTATAACCATGCGTAGCAAGTGCTACGTGACTTCGTAGCAGATTAATATGATACAAATAATAAAAACGTTGTTCACGTAGTAGTTTGGCAGAAAAATAACAAGATACAAGGGCGCTGAATTGGTGTAATTAGTAGCTAACTATTTAGGTACTTTGTAGACAGCCACGAGACGATATTATGAGACGGAGTTGCGCACTTAGAAAAGTTGCGGAACAGCGATCGTGCGTGAGCGAAAACTTTAGTTGGCGACTTGCGAACGAGCGAAAATTCTAAATAAGCCGGATTTTTCTGACGGTGGAAAGTCGATGCGCCCAAGAAATTAGTACATAATTAATTGTGTTGTGCGGGGATAGGTATGTTTACGACTTCGCTCGAGCGGAGGTGGCGAGATAGCGGGGCGGCTGGCGCGGCAGGGGTGAGGCGCGCGCGTGCGGGGCGGGGGGCGCAGGACGGACACAAAGGAGAGGAGCGGCCGGCCGCGGACGCGAGCCGCGGGCCGGGTGGCCTTATCACCGTCGGCCACACAGTCGCTTCGCGCGCCTCGCGGCTAACACGTCTCCGCGCGCGAACTCTCCCCGCGAACTCTACGCTCTGTGACTTGTGATCGACGGATCAGTGAAACCCGAACTGAAACTTGTGTGTACACGTGCCGCGCATTGCGCACCCGTTCTATCTATATTTTTATTGGACCGTGTGTCCCATTCACGGGAGTTATAATATCATACAACTGCTGGCCTGTCAAATATTGTAAACACTGCACACGTGCCGCCGGCTCGCAAGTAAGTTTTCATATTTTCATAATCGATTTCCGTACTTTTATTAAAATTAATTGTGTAGAAAAACTTTTCTGAATGCTTGGAATCTAGGTTATTAGTAACACATTAGCCCTTTACTGTTAGTTCTTTTAGTAAATATATTTACATTCCCTTGACTATCTAAGACGCTGATATCAATATTTGTTCTAAAACTGACACCAACTTATACGCAAGGTTATTTAGGCACTATACCTACAAATACCTAGCTATTAGAAATACCTATAAATCCAGGTGCGGATTCTGCGGAATTATTTTAATTATCGTTGCTCACCGTATACTTTGTGACTGTTGTATTCGAAAATAAATTTGACTTAGAAATTAATCTCGTTTTTCATTAGAATCGACTGTATAAGTTTTCTTAAAAAGTATAATTTGTTTCGTTCTCAATACCTACAGAGACTTACAATTAGAGCTGTAAAGTATGTTGTGTTGTCTAGATTTCAATCATTTCTACTTGTTTATCCATATTATAAAATTCTGAGTAAAAACATAAGAAAGCATTAAAGAGTATGGATAAAATTAGGAATATTTAATGGTATTAAAAAATTGCCATTGCCAAATTGCCGAATCTAATTTAGATATAAAAACTAAATATATTATAGAGACAAAATTGGAAATACGGTTAGATCAGTTAGTCTAGGAATAGATTTACAATCCGTGGTTTTAATTCAAAAGGAGAATCTACCCAAAGAATTTACTAAAAGAAAAAAGGGAAAGAAATATAAAAAGACTATGAAAGTATGTAAAATTGTTTAGCGAGATAGTGACTACCTAGTTGTTAGTTATTATCGTGGTAATAAAATAATTTCTTAATTAAATATTGTATGTATAGCATAAATAATAATTCTTTTCTAATAAATATATTTTTATAAGGGTGATAAGCAGGTAAATAAAATATGAATAACAATAGTCAGTAAAGAATTTCGTTTGTAAAATAATTTACTACTAAACCTGTTAAGTTTACCAAACTTCACATAACAACAAAAAAACTTGCATTAGTTTGTTACAATTACAATAAAACAAAATTGCGAATACCTAAACGGTAGTGCATCGCCATCTATCGGTGACCGAGAGAGATATACGTCACCGCTTGCAAGGTCAGCGTGTCAACGACCCGACAACTTTTGCCGCCTACTGTTGTCGTAGGTCATAATTTTATGTCTTCTTTTTGTTTATCTTTTCGTAACTTTATAGCTTGCCGCGTAAACGCATTTATTTTATAACCACTGCAAATGCGGGCAGATGTATATTATTATGACTATGATCGTATTCAAGTGACATTAGGTATTGTGCAACGTATGACTTTGTTTGATTGTTTCAGTTCGCTTGTGATTAGTCGCGATAAGTGATAAGTGCAATAACCGTTCGCTTGTTTTGTGCAATTTGATTTATTCACGTCGTGTGCTATCACATTTACCATGTTAGATTATCGCTGTATATTTTTTACACAACCGTACGTTTATTTTTATTAATTATTGTAACAGAAAAACTTTTAGTTAGATAACAAGTAATATATCTTCAAACTTACTTTACCTTCATAAATTTAATCAATACATATCAACGATCCACTAAATAGATAGCAGTTTGGTTTGTTTATGAATGTATGTGCTGAACATTTAGGAACATAAAGAAGATTAGGTTTCTAACTACCGCCGCACTCCCGTCCGATTCCCGAGAGTTCCTGAGAATCTTACTCAATTTGGATATCGAAATTGAATTACGATTTCGTGGATTTGAAAACTTTAGGAGATTCGTTAATAATTAATTACCCATTTGAATAGTGACTTAATAAATTTGTTATTAGTTTATCAATTTCAACGTTTAGTATGCATAATTTATATTTAGTTTTTTTATTCATAATATGGTTGCATGATCAAGCAATGTTAGATTATTAAGCATTGCTGTTTGTTTTACGTTCCGAACAAATTATGCTTTGGATATTCAATACTTATCTAACTGTAATGATAGAAAAACGATAAATATAAGTTAATGTTATAAACATAACTAAGTTACAGTTTAATTGTTACAGACCGCGAGACGTGAAAATGGCGACCAAGGGCAAGCGGCCGATGCGAGCCCTTACGCCTGGTGACAAGATCGAAGCGATACAACGCGTTAATGATGGAGAGTCTAAGGCCTCTGTCGCTCGGGACATAGGTGTCCCTGAGTCCACGCTTCGTGGGTGGTGTAAGAACGAGGACAAGTTACGCTACATGACCTCACGACTGTCGTCACCCGACACTGATAAGAGCAATGATGGCGAACCGCAGGACAAGCGAGCACGCACCGAGTCACCGGCCGCACCACCGTCACCGATCGCCGCTGGTCTCGATCTCACCACACCAACTAGTACTGTACATACAACTCAGCACAGTACAACTCCTATCGACGCTCCAGTTGAACTCACCACTAAGCGTTCCCAACCATCACCAACACCTCATCTCCCACGTGACCGTCGACCAGATCCAGGTGCCAGTGTATCTATGAGTGCCATCAGCCCTTTATCGGGCCTTGCGCATTTACCCGGACTCACACATTCCCATCTAGGTCTGAGCTTCAACGAAATTGCCACCAACTTGACCCTGCTGGCTCAACTCAATCCGGGACTGTCCGCCCTATCTGCTCAACCAGCTAGTCGAGCTTTACGTTCTGTTCGGTCACCTAAGCCTGCACATAACGGAGTCCTGAATTTGAACGAGAGCAAACATCGCAGCAAACCACACCACCATTCTGATCCGTATAGATCAAGCGGGTCAAAATCTAGCCACCACAGTACGTCATCCTCCACTGCAAATCAACCAGTAGATGACACATTGTGGTATTGGCTGAAAACACAACAAGCCATGTTAGATTTAACTGCACAGAGCTCAACAGCTCATCAACTTCAGCTCGGAAAACCAGATCCGACTACTGCTCCGAAACCTGTCGCCCCTGCTCCACCGGTCACCTCGCACCTTGACTATAACAGAAATTCATGGCTGTGGCAATACTACAAACAGTTTGGTGGAGCGATGCCACTACCAGAAGACAAACACAAATCTGCGTCTCAAGTACCAAAAGATAAAACTTCGGAAAATATACTTTATTCACATCTAACGAAAAGCAAGGATGAGGAGCACATTGCTATGATGAGCCCTATTCAACAGCAACTCCGTAACGAAAATGTCAGGGAAACTAATCATAAGGAACCACGTGTGGCTCAGCCGGCTACTAGCCCGGAGATCAGTACGGAGAATAAAGAGCCATTATCAGAGAGGAACCACGAATCAGGCAAGAATCAGATCAAAGCTCGCACTGTGCTCGATAATCTTTTATTTAACAATACAAACCAGACGGCAAGTAAGGAAATGAAAAGTGTAGACTTGCCAAATGGTGAATGGGATACAGGCACCGCTGAAGCATTGGAACACGGCGACAAGTTTTTGGCTTGGCTGGAAGCCAGCGGCGACCCAAGTGTGACGCGCATGCACGTGCATCAGCTGAGGGCACTTCTACAAAACCTGCGAGCAAGGCGATCGGCCGCCGCTGTGCCCGCCGAGCCCTCCGACCATGCCGCCCGTCGCAAATGAACCGCCGGGAACGCTCCGCGCTCGCTACAGGGAATATTTCAATTATGTACATAGTTACGACGTCGCCAGTAAGCGTTCACTTGTGATATGTGTAGCCAAATTTGCGTAATTTCTTTGTTCTAAAAAGAAAGCTATGCATTATTTTTCTTTAGTCCTAAGACTTAACTAGGTGTAAGTGTGAGATCCGGCGCCACCTCGACGAGTTCCGTCGATGTGCGCGCCAGCTAACCCGTCTCCGAGTCTAACAAATTTAATAGTTATTAAAGCTGTAAAAATAAATGTTATATGCAATCGATATTACTTTCTTGATGCACAGAACTGTTTGTTACGTGGTTAGATTAAGTAGATCAGCTGTATGTTGCCATTTGACGATTACATTCCTAGTTGTACCCTTACTATATAGTTTATAGTTGGATCCCCTATGTTCTACCTCAAGTCAAAACTAATACTAAGTCACAGCGTCCTTTCAACTTTTCATAATAAGAGCATTGCGCCCACGTCGCAAGGTGCCGGCCAGAGTTGGCGGCGTATATAAAAGATACCAAATATTGAAAGGATGCGGTCGTATTGTGCCAATCGTACGAACAAGGTACTATTGTTAAGATATATAGATAACTCTATTGCGTTAGCGCTAGGCATTCGTTGTGTAATTGTTTTCTATTGCTCAGTATTTTATATGGTAGACATGTATATGTCTCGACTCGGAATTGTATTATACGTTAAAGTTAACAGTTAAGGACACTGTGATCAAAATTATAAATTATTGAGAGATTATTAATACTGTAAGTACATTCCTAATTAATAGAGCGTATTATGATAATGTTATAAGAGATGTCCAATGTTGTAGATGTGTTGCGACAACACCGTGGCGCAACTAATATAATTAAATATAGTTGAAAGTTCAAAAATTGTATCTCCTTTCACTGAAGATAAAATTATTGATTTGCATTTCGTGTTAATTATATTAAATCTACTTACTTGAAATTATTCGAGAGATGATATTTTGTACAAAATTGAAAATTGGATTATAAAATGATTCTCTTATCACAGAGTTTGTGATCTCAAAAATGTTGAATGATTAAATTTGATTGAACCTTAAATGGAAAACGTGTTTTATTTATCTCCGCTTAATAAGAAATGTTCTAAGGAAAAATACAATTTCGATAAAAATAACTATACGACCCCCGTTGGCGTTGAGATTGGTTCTGCTAACTTGGTATAGTATAAAGGTAGATGAATATTTAATATATTACATTTGTGTGTTACATCAATTGTGTAACCTATACCTATCAACAAATATTATCTGAAGCAAACTTTTGACCAAAAATTAATAAAAAAATCTGAAAGGCCATTCCACGATACGACCATGTAGCGCCATCTGTTACATAGTGTACAAAACAGTAGCACAAGTAGAAAGCAAGTGGCTAATGATAAAAAGTTTACTCACATGTAACATAGGTTTCGTCAGGGGTTCGTAGTCGAAGTAATCTGCCACCAAAGCAGCGATCCCTTGCCATGTATTTGTATCAGCATAGCATAATTTGGTCGGTCTTATCGTTGTGCACACCATTTTCTGTGATAATATTCAATTAAATTACTTAAAATACACAGCGAATTATTAAATGCCAAGTAATTATAAACTATCTAATATGAAGTACTGGAAACATTAATTGAAAAATATGTATGTACCTGTAAACCACATTCATTGGGAGCCTGAAGCAATAATGGTTTCCGAGCTTGATAATGAAATTGGAACTGTTGTCTAAAATTTTCTGCGTAACCCAAAAGAAGGCGTTCTTTAGGTGAATTCGTATAATAACTTTTGGGAAAACACGTACGATTCTCAAATACGGGCTCAGATATTTCTGGCCAACACAAATTAACAACTCCCAGTTCATAAATAGCATTGTTTAAAGATGGTATAGTCAAAGAATCTCTAACATCTTTTAAACTGAAAATTCTAGGAGATATTTCTTCAATTTGACCTTCTTCAAAAGGTCGATCGAATATTTCACTAGTCACGTTTTCATTAACTTCTAACAACGTATCCATTGGCCCCATGTCTGAATTTTTTTGAGCGGAAATAGTTTCTGACGATAATTTTAGGACACTCATTATGAGTGTAATTTATTTAAACACATTTGTAAATAATATTCTATCGTATGCCGATTATATTATTCAGTTTCAGTCACTTAGCAACCACAATAACGAACTGCTGAAAAACATGTTCAAATGGAAAGTCATTCGTACATAAGGGCTCGCTAAAAGCGGCAATGGAGGAATGAGTTAAGCCACTAGTACCCTTTACACTCAGTATGTGAGTTTAATGCGCAGGCACCTAAGCTAAGAACAATATATTGAGAACTAAATGAATAATTAAATAATACAACACACTGAAATTCTCAGGTTACAATCTTAATCAAATAGCGTTAGTAAGCAAAACTGTTTGTTCAGGGAGACGCGACGTAGCGCTCTCGAAAAAATGCTTCACTGAAAAATGTCACGAGTACGTAGGTATTATTATTTATAACAGTAATAGAGGTTTACACCGTAACACGCACAACCGCTACAGATTGGTAGTCGTTGATGATGCCTGGTCTTCCAGATCCTCCTAAGTAGAACAAAAGAGTACTTCTTTGTTCGGTGGGTGCAACCTCTTTGCCCCGGCTTCAACTCCGGGGACACTAAACCCCGGGGTCCAGATGGATAGCCTCTTGATTGACATTAATTATGGCACATAATAACAAAATAAATAATTCGGAAGATAAATAATTTACACATAAATGAACTTAATATTAGCCTTAAAAGTGTCGTATTATTTGAAGGGTTTTTTTAATAATTTTAATGTATCATTTTTTTAATATTATTATTTGATAGTTGATCGTGATGCTTACGTGATACCACAAGGTTGCTCTCGAGGTTTCTATTAGCTGGCTGTAGGAACTAACTGCTTTTGCCTTTCCCTAAGACCGTAAAAACCAAACTAATAAAAATGTCTACTGGCAATGAAATGTCAATGTCAAACTCTATAATTTAATTCATTATTGTTCTTACTGAAGACAATGGCTGTATAGGCTGAGTCCTTTTGCCTTTCCCTAAAAAAGGGAAAAACCGAACCAAAAAAAAAACATTATTGTTGTCAATGTCATATTGTGACAATTCCAGATACTTTATTATTTTTCTACTTATAAACAATACAATTTAAAAATTACATAAAAGATATCATATTATTTACTACACTGTTAATCCGTTCTTTATCTAACTTAATCTTCAAAAACCATTTTACGACCTTTGTAATCATTTGCAAATCATAATATAACCTAAAGCATTAAGTGACATTATTTTGTTATAGAAAATCAGTTTTATATTGCACGTTTGTTTTGTATCATTCGCTAAGATCCTAAGATCGAGTCGTGTTGTGTCAAGGTTAGCATAAAAAGAAACATGGGTAATAAATCATCGTTATTATTAAGAGAGGAGGAAATTGCGCAAATCCAGGAAGAAACCGGATGTAAGTAGTTCTTTATTTTCTTAGCCTTAAATTAGTGTATAGTAATAAATTCTCATGTAACCTTTGATTACACGAAGTATTACACACATTAACTAGAAGAAATAAGTATGAGTCATAAACAATTAAATGCATAAAATTGTTATATTTAATATTATTATTACACTGCATGTTTAAACCTATAAATATAGTTTATTATGTAGAAACTACATTATAAAACATGTAAAGCAGACAGTATCAATTATTTTCACAGTTCACTGTGACTTAATTTAGGCAGTATTTCTGGAGTTAAAAATAAAATAAATACCCTTAACACATACATACATCCAGCCCTAATCTAAGCAGGACTTCCATTATATACACTACATAACATTACGAATTATTTTTATTGATGTAATTCATTTGTGTATATTATTTGTGATCTTGCACCCATGCTCCTAAAACAAACAATGTTGTCACCTGACCTTGCTTCCTATACTAATCTATCCTACTAGCCAATGCTTCTATATACTGCTGTTTACATTGTAAGTTGCAGTTTTGTCAAATGTATTTCAACTTATTAGATACTACTTTATTCAATTACTTATTTTGCTTCACTTTTCTTATTGAAAAAGTTAAATAACAATTCTTCCATAGTAGTTTTTTCCACTTTCACAACATATAAGTTAGCATAAAAAGTAATGTCTCCCTCATCCTGCCTTTAACATATAAAAATAAGGTTTAATTATTATGTCTTCACAGTTACTCCAAACCAAATTGAGCGTTTATACTCACGGTTCACATCATTAGACAAAAATGATTGTGGCACTCTCTCCAGGGATGACTTTCTAAGGATTCCAGAGCTAGCCATAAACCCTCTAAGTGAGAGGATTGTCCATTCATTCTTTGCCGAGAGCCATGATGACAGAGTGAACTTCCTACAGTTCATGAGAGTGTTGTCACATTTTAGACCAATCAGGAAAAATAGGGAGAATAAATTGAATAGCAGGGAAGAGAAACTGAGATGTAAGTATTATGTTAATTAGCCTATATAGATAAATAGAAATTCCAATTTTGTCACATTCCTCCTACTTGTTACTGTGTATTTATGTATTTATATTGCTCATTCTTCTCATACATATTCAAATTCAAATAAAGAGTTATTTACTACATAAAAAGTAAATTAGTACATTTGAAACTTTTGTTTTTAGTTGCATTTTCCATGTATGACCTGGACAATGATGGAAAAATATCTAGGGATGAACTATTGGCTATTCTCCATATGATGGTTGGTGCAAACATAAGGTAAGGGTTTTAATAAATATATCATTATCTATCTATGCATAAAGATGCACACACTTCTATAACGCAGCCTTCTAATTATTTTTCGAGGAGGACCAAAAACTGAGAAATGGCACCTTGAACCATCCCAGTTGTAATAATATAATATGTGTAAACCTAAAGTATGTGCTTATTGGTCTGATATAGCAGTAATCAACATATTCATATTTTGTAATAATGTTACGTTAATTTATATTGATATCACAGTGTTTATAGCTGTACATTCCTGATAATATTGATAACGTAAAACAATTCTTTGATGCCAAGGGTGCTTGAGGATATAAATTATATATTACTCATGAAGAACAATGACTACAAATCATTTTACAATAATATTGCATTATTAAGTTGTTAACATTAATTTATAGATTTTGTTTGTTGATCACTTGGTTTACAAGCAACATTTTTATCACAATGCAGTACTGACAACCTCACCCAATTCGTGAAGGTTTTTCTGAGACATGTGCACACAAATGAATAAAAATTCTAATATATATTGTTTTGTCTTTTATTTTGTTGATAAAGTTTTTCTTATATATTTCTGATGTATTATATATGTTTAGACTACAAAAATAAAAAATATTACAGTATTAAAAATAATCAGACATGATCAATAAATGGAAGTAGCAGTGTCCTCAAGATATCGGTGGTATTGCCTCATTCATTGTTATCTCTAATCATAATCATACCTATAATATATACTTACCCTCATATTGTAGTTCAATGCCAAAAAATATGACATCATGTTAATATAATACTGAGAAAGCCTGCCAGATTTAACTAAAAAGTAGTTAATACTTAAAAACAATGAATGGATATTCAAATTAATTTGCATTTCTAACTTTTCGTTGATTAAAACATAAATAACAACCCACATTAAATATAAAAAACTTATGGAAACATAATTGTTCTGGTTAATAAACCAAACTACCCAATAAGTGATTGTAGACTCTCCTCTGTCATGTCGGGTTTGAATGTGAATATGTGTGGAAATGTGGAAAAAATATGTATTTCAAGTGTTACATTCACCAGGAAGAAGAAATATATAAATTTTAATAAGGCATATATTTGAGCGTGGAATAAATGTATTATTATTATTTTATTTATTTCAGGCAACTAGGCCCATATCACATATAACTTATAGATTAACATACATATGAAATAATATTGTAAAATTAATATATTGATCTTCTTTGTCTGGTCTGAAATATTTGCCCTAATACAAATTCTTGGTTTTCGGGATATTTCATGTTTATAGTCGCATTTACTTCCCCATTTACTGAGCTTCCAGTGCTCTATGCTATATTCAAAAATTAACATTCTTTTTCAGTGAAGAGCAACTTACAAGCATTGCTGAGCGCACCATATTAGAAGCCGACACCAACAATGACCAAATGATATGTTTCGAGGAGTTCTGCCATGCTCTCGAGAGGACAGACGTCGAACAGAAGATGTCAATACGTTTTCTTAATTGACCTCCAAACTCCTGAACCATATACATCAAGTATATTTTGACCATAGTACTGGTGGTGCTTATCTATGGGCTTCTTACAAAAAAATAACCACAATGCTCTATGACATTAAAATTTTAAGTATACGTCAGAGATAGTTTTTTTCGTTCTTTGTTAATTGTTTTAGTACTGTAATCGGAACAGGGATGTTTTTAATTTTAACGTTAATCAATAAAATTGTAGTCTTTTTGTTGACATGTGATTACTCATAGGGGCCGTCTGTAAATTACGTCACAACTTTTATTTTATTTGTTTCTCTGTTGTGTTTAATTTCTTTTTTTTTTATGATGTTATTAACTCCTTCAGCCGCGATTTGATACGGCAAATGTTTATGTCACAACTTATTTAGGCAGACAAAGTGTGACAAGTTATCCTAGATTTCGTGACTTAAATGTTTATATTTTTTTGAGGGAAGGAGGGTATCCTGAGTATCACACATGTGACTAGCTGTGACAAGTTCGGGCGGCGTTAAAAAAAAACGTTGGGACGCATAATTCATGGATGGCCCTGTATACATGTATATCGTCTAAATAAAACACTAATGTATACTAAGCGGGTAGCCATTACAACAGTGGGCACTGTTTTCGTCATTCTTATCCTAACTTTCATTCCAATAATGTTAATTGAGCGGCATTTAATTTTTTTTTTATAAAAATTATTTTGTGTATTTAAACAGCATATTTACCAAACATTTAAAGAGGTAAGATCGATGATGATTAGGCCTATGCCTATGTTACAATATGCAGCCATATATATTTTTTAATTAATTATGAATTTTTTTTGTAATATAAATTATTTGCAAGTTTATAATATAAATGACAAAAACGCCACCACTAAAAAGAGGGCTATTTTTTATTAAATTATTAAATATTTGTCTCTTTTAACATAAGTGTTGTACAAGTTTTGTAATTATGTTCGTTTCTTTTTATAGTGAATAACGATTTTATTTATTTATCTGAAGTAGCTGTATTTGCGAATAGTACAGACGATTGGAAATACTTATGAAAATACAATTCATCTTAAAAATATATATATTGGGGTTTTTCTTCTAATTAGTAATCAGTCTATAAGAATTTACATTAAATTTACAATAGTTGAAATTAAACTCTGACCTATACCAAATTATCTGGCTAATAATATTATTATTGTCACTGAAAAACGAGGCAGATATAGGTGCATTTTTTTTTAAAGAAACTACTACCCTACATATTGTAGTTATTGTACCAATTGATTTAAATACATACATCACAATTAGGGAGAAATACACTCTACATTTTGTATATTTGTTTGTATGTAGGTAGATTGTGACCCGGTCTGTATTAAGGTCGACGAGGCACGAATGATCAAGACCATTCACTCAATACGTGGTGGTAAATTGCATTAAAATGTTATATATCTAAAAGATTGGGATATATATATATTTTTTAAAAATGATCAGAGGCTAAATTTGTGTAACATAAACGTGAGTAGGTTTTTACTAACTGTATTAGTTTAGGCTGTTACCAATATAGATTAGATCAGTGTCAAAAATTTACGAGTGCCCAGCTGTATTTATTATTTAGAACTAATATTGTATTGCTGTGTAGATAAATAAAAAACATATTTTATCAATACATTGTTTGTGATACAATCATCCCTATCCTTGAAGTGAATATAGTATTAAAAATATACTTATGGCGGCCGGTCCAATATATATAAAACTCGGTTTCCTTTTATAATTTGTGAACGACTCTACAGTGTTATTACACTGTAGTAGTATAGTAGATAGCCATAGTAGTATATACTCAATCGTTACTAGATATGAGTGACAATCGAAAGCTGAAGAATAGTGTATCTCAGGTCCAAAACAGATAGGAAGTGCGTTCAAAAGAGGACTCACATTATAAGATTCAAATTTTACGGTCAGTGTCGACGACGGACGATCAGTTGCGAATATTATAAATTCTCACAAAGGATTCTCGTTAGTTTGTAATGCAAAATCTATTGGACGTTAAATGAATTTTTGTGCACATAAATGATTATAAATACGCTGCTGAAATTGGAATACACGCCAGCAAGAGTACATCTAGTAAAAAATAATGTTATTAATTCATATACATTTAATGCCGTTAATTAATTTACATTCATATTTGTAGAAAATATATTTAAACTTAAATAAAAAAAAAACTATGGAAATATGTCTGCAGTTCTAATATCTGCCTTTCATTCACAGAAATATAATTTAATACCATTAACATCTTTCATCCAATATAATATATTACTATAAAATATTTTACAAGTTATTGCAAAAAAAAGAATTTAATTCAAAGATATGGAACTCGAAATTCTAAATCTTAAAAAAAATCGATATCACTCTTCGGTAATATCCGCGCTCGCCTTATAGTGGATAAATAACAAACTGCGTTGTAAAGATGGAATTAGATTTAAAGAAGCAAGAGCACAGAATAACACAGAACAGAATCAAGTGAGTTAACAATAAAAGTATAGATATTGGAAAACAACTTCAAACTTTTTTTAGCACCAAGTGACATATACAACAGATGATCATGCACATCGAAAAGATACTAAACAATTTTATTACTGTTTATAATATACATTACTACAATCTTTTATTACTCAATGCTGCAATTTATAAGAGTTGTAGGAAAGAACGAGGTATGTCTCTTAAATCTAAATCCACCTTAACTAAATTAAGATTGCATTTGAGAATAATGTTAAGTCAATAAATTTGAATTCATACGACCATAACAGGTCGTTTTACTTCTTTTTTCATGTTTTACGGCTCTGGATACAGATCCTTTTAAGCCCAACTTTAACAATTACACTAAACTTGATGAATCATAGTATTTACATAACTGATATACATTACAAGTGAAGTGGTGAAAATGCAATATACATTCCCAAAGTCAAATTTATTGTAATTAACTATGTTTTCATAATACAAACTGCATTTAGTTACGCTACACGTCTCATCTAACACATAAGTTGGAAGTTGCAAACCATTCCCGTTGAGTTTCCTATTTCCTGGGCAAACATCAGTTCTGCTGACACGTTTGTTTGAATATTATAATTAGGCATTTGAGGAAACTGCCAACTTTTTCAGATGTTCCATAAAGACTTGCAACGATACATCGTCTGTTAGTACAGGAGCTCCACCGTCCTATAATTATGAAAATAGTCAATTTAGCAACACAATTACTTGATAGTTCGATGGGGTCGTCAACCAAAATATTATATCTATATTTGTTAATAGTATTTATTAATGTAATATAGAAAAAAATCGTAATTTATACACAAAGGTTTAAGCGTATTAGTATACCATAAAATTAGTGTTATATTTATTTATAATAAAATGTATGTATCCGTTTTCAAGTAGGTTGTATCTACACCTGAAATAAACAATTGACGGTTCACCAACTGGTGGTAACCAGAACCAAAAAATGGTAACTATTTTGTATACATATATGCACCACGGATGATATGTACACTAGCGCCAGCGTGTGTTACCATTTCTAACGAATCGACGATCGTATTTATAAGCTGACTCTTCTAAAGTAGGAACTCCCTCTGGAACCGGTACAGGAACATGACAATTTTCGCCTCTATTTAATAAAAAAATTGTTTTAATATACTACAAATAACGGTTGACGACCACTGGATGTGATATTATAACTACAAAAAACTTATTTTATAAGGCTTGCAAATATTGAAAGAAATGTACAACTTAGTAGAAGGCAGTAATGAAGTTATAATAGTATCATGCATAAGGAAGCAATAATGTAAAAGGAAGTAGATAGTGAGGTTGTATTAGTCATATAATAACATTGACATAGATAACGCATAAAAAGAAAAACAATATTGTGGTAGTAACTAAAGCAGAAACCAAAAACCCTGATTTAGTTAATAAAAAATTAAAAAAAAAAACACTACCGCTGATGGTATCGGCATCGCCTGGATTCGCCATTACAATGATGAAACAAAAAAAATACAAATCAAATCATGCAATGGTGCGCAATTTCGAACTTAAAAAAAATCACACCATGCAAAATTAATACATGTGTTCATTCAAAATCTCAAAGCAAGGAATTGCCATGCTTTAGAAAAATGTTATGTCTGTGAAGAAAATTTACAAAATAAAATTATGAGTAAATGTGCGTTAACGAAATTTTGCCATTATGCAATTAATTTCGCAAATATTTTTAATATAAATATTTCTTTAAGAATATAATAATAGAATGAGTTTAAGAATAATAATTAAGAATATATGTAATGCCATTAGAGTTGCAACTAATTTTTGTGATATATTGAATTTAAAATACTAAGCAAGTATTATTATTGTACAATAATCAGATATTGATTGACAAGCTTGAATTGAGTACGTAGTTTTCCTAGTGATTTTAAAATATGGTTATTATTATCCTAGTAACAAAAGTAAGTAAGTAGGTACTTGTGATGATTAATAAGATATTTAGTGACTAAACAAAGAATTATTACAGCGATAACATTGTTACAATTTGATAGTGCAGACACGGGCAAAATACAAACTATCGATATTAATGCAGTAACTCTTCCTACCTATGACGTATACTTTCGAGTATTAATTTGTTGTTTTTTTAATTCAGTTAATAAATTTAAATGACTAAATAGAATGCTCACTTGAAAATTGATTTTTTTAGATTAATACATTTGGATACGTTATCTTTTGTTAATTATATTTGTGGTACTCACCCCACCATACGCGTACATGTTGTTGTGCGTCTGGGACGGATTCACTTTTGACAGTAGAAATCGGGCCTGTAACAAATATGTATTTTGTTTAAAAACTAATAGAAATAGAAATAATCTTTATTGAAATAAACTTAATATAAGCACTTTTGAATAGTCAAGTTTTTTTTATTCTACCGCTTATTCGGAATGCAGATTCATCACAAGAAGAATAAGCAAGAAACTTGTGTGTTGCTCTATCTTCACACTAGCTGATACGACCACATGTTGCTGTGGCATAAGTTCTGATATTGAGGTGTATAAAGACCATATAGGCTAGCAGAATATTGGATTAAATAAAGACTACTTTTTTGGTTAATAACTTGGATTAATAATAAAGAGTGGATTTTCCACAATTAGTATTTTTTGAGTTGAACCAGTATTGTACAAGGTTTGCGATTTTATATTGCTATTATACAATTAATTTATTAAATAAACATGAAGTTGGTTCAATTTATAACATTAACTTTTAAGTGGACCAAATTATTTATAACATAAACCTTCCGGAGTATATTTCGAACACACTACGTCATGTGAATTTTATATACAGAATATAAAGATACATTGCCTATGTGCATCTGCGATAAAGCTTCGAGTAATGAAACAATTTATCAAATATAATAGATACTGCGGTTGTCTACTATTTCCCTACATGTGTACACACAAACTCATAAAATACATCACTTTATGTCAGAGTAGATTACTTCTATATTAATTATAAATTCCAGAAAATAATATAATACATACTACATATAAGACAGTACAACAATAAAACTAAAACAGAAAGTACTATACATAAAATGAATTAACGGATTAACGGAGAATAGAACTAAAATCTGCGTTCATATGAATCAACTCTATAAATGACAACGCTACGTACGCCATTTATTCGAACAATTCCAATGTAACCGCTCTTCTCAGTACAATACAGGGAAAGTTATACAAAACGAAGTATAAAGCACCATTGCCAATGCGTGTACATAACAATGAATTTCACGGTCTCTGATAAGGCACCATGTTGTGTCGGGCGGTACTAACTACGGTGGTCATCACATGTACGTTCTATCGTGAACTAATTGCGCTACCAAACCCTCTGGACGATCAGCGTAAAATCCAGATAAAAGGTTCCGAATATAAATGTATATTGTAAATAGAACACAACGGATTACCAAAATATTAACACATTAACGCGTAGTAGACATATATTCAATCGAAATCAAAGGTTTTAAATCGCCTTATTCATACGCGTATACTACGTGATATCTTCACTAATTGTTAACGAATCACAAGTACAGTTATATTATTATTTTTTTAATAATTTGTGGTTTTGTGTATGCTGAACATCATTGATTCTTTGTAAAATGAAATATGAAGAAATGTTATATCGATGTTGCTTATTTTACCAGACTTAATATGCGTGCTGTGGTTAAATGGTCTGCAGAAGGAAGATTTGGATGTAAACTTGCTGAGAAAACTACAGCGGCACAAACTAAACATAGACGATACGGATGACGAGTAAGTACTAATATATATACAGTACTTTATTATAATTGTATCCCTCGCTGTTCTTTATCTTTATTAATAATAAGTTATATAGTCATAATAGTAGAGAGAGTTTTTTGTTCCATTGGTCTAAATATTTTACTAATAATTTTATTTGTTACAATAGTACACTTCGTCAAGAATGTATTACTAGGAAGACTTCAGAAGCAACAAATGTTACGGAGAATAAAAATGAAAACGAGCCATCGAAAGCAACGATAAATACACCCAATTTAAATGAAAGTAAGTTGATAATGTTAGTCATATTACAAAATAATATTACAGAAAAGCAATTACTATGTAAGTGTGTACGACAATACTTATATTGTAACAAATACGTATATAAAATAGCATTGCATTGTTATTGTTGTGTGTAGTGAACACACAACAATAACAATAGCAATAATATCATAATAAATATACGAACACTAAATATGTATGTTGCACAAGTAATAAGTTTATTTTTAAAATATGCAACCAAATTTATAGTCAGGCTTGATTATTGTAATTACCTGGTCATATTTTATGTACCTAGAATCTAAATATATTGCCATTGCAGACATAGAGATGTAATTAATTCGTGTTATATTAAAAAAAACATCATATAAATATTGTATTTATGAATTACAGGTATAAATAATTTACGTAATGACGATTTGTTTAAAATGGCACAGTATTTTACTAATACGGACAAATTAAAGCACAAATATAACAACGAAAATGGGGAGAAAGGAATTAACCAGATAATTAAACCAAAAGCAGACAATCAAAACATTTCGTATACAATAAATAGAAAGAAAAATAACGAAAATATGTTAAATCCACAGGATGAAGCAACAGTTACAGATAAAATAATATTAAATAACAATAATCCTAATATTGAAAATATTATAAAATTTTGGAATACGATTGCAAATAAAAGTAAAAATAATCTTACAATCAAACAAAGTATTGAACATACAACTAAAATAGCAGGCTTACCTGTGACACAACAAATTGCAGATGTACGTACTAAACAGCCAAAAGAAGCTGACCTCATCAGTAAACTAATAGCAGAATATATATCTAAAACACGAAGTACTACTGCTCTAACTACTACAAATACACCCATCATTGATTTGAACAATATTTCCGAACAATTAAAATATATCATTGAAAAAACACACAATAGTAGACTTCCTGATTTTAAAGATGAATCACAATATGAAACTACTGAAAATCTTGATAATATACAAATTAAGTATGGAACTAATGATGTATCAATTTCAAAAAGCGACACCACTCTGACTCCAAGGCACTACTCCAATTCACAAGATATTGCATATTTCCATAATAGGCCTCGTTTAGTAAACGATAAGAAAACCCAAGGTAACCATGGTCCTATCACTGTTATTGAAGACATTTTAAAGTTAAAAGAGCAACTAAAATTGTTTTCTTCAATCACATCTATTAAAAATGAATTTACCCAGGACACAGATGTCAAATTTAATTGCTCAAAGCGTGAATTTGATACACGTACACAAGTTCAAAGTTTAAACCCTACCAAATTTCCGCAAATGGAGTTAGGAGTTCATGATAAATTTACTAAACCTCAGATTAACATACTACCTAAAGATCTAATACAAGAAATAGCCGAAAAAGTTAAAGAAATTGTCTTGATTGATCTGGTAAAATTTACGTCTACTTCACAAAAGCCAGAATATTTTACAACAGGTACATAGTCATGTTATTTCAATAGCTTTATGGTATTAAATTTAATTAATACATATTATTTGACAAATATTTCCATATGAAATTATAAGATATAATTAAGAGCGTTATTTTTTTTAGAAAAACTAACAACTACAGCCAATATTGAGGAAAATAAACCACATGAAGTGAGTCAAGTTATTGCAAAGTTTTTGGAATTATTCGAGCAATACAAAACAATAAAAGAAGGTGAAATTGTAACGGCTAATACAAAATATAAATTGACTAAAAAGGAACAAATTAAGCATGAATTCCGTAATCCATCGCCAGAATTAATTTATCCCTATTTACGTTTAGATCATACTAAACAGATAAAAAAGGATACAACTTTTCGTGTTGACCAAATTAATTCAATCTTAAATCCAAAATTTTCAAACTTGACGCCACAAGAACTGCATTACCTTAATATACCTATAATTAATCCTACCCCAATAGATAGAAGTGGCTCAACACCATTAACAATACAGACAAATTTAAATGAGATTCCTCCACTAGTTCTTCCTATTTCAAAACCTTTTGAACTGATTAATCAAAATATCATAGTGACCACTAAAGAACCTTATCAAACACTTATTAATCGTCCATATTGGAACAGTAGATTAAAAATTCAAAGAAATGTAGATGCAGACAATTTTAAATATAACAAAGAGAGATCCCAATATTCAACAGTAAAATTTAATAAACGAGACAGATCTATTCCGTATCAGGAATTTAAAACCACATATAATAACAATCCAATATATGATAGTCAAAGATATGATCATAGTCAATTTGATAATAATAGACACACATACAAAATAGATAATGATGATGTAAATTCCAATGTGAATTATAAAGGGACGCATAATAATCTACCAATGAACTACAGACCAGACTATGAATCTAATAACAATGAACGATTTACTAGGATACACAATGGTGAAAGATTTTATGAAAAGCTAGAAAAAGGTGATGATTTGTTTTCTAATTATAACGACAACAAATTTAAAGATGGAAACGGGGAGAACTTTTGCACAATGAAGGTAGCTTCAAGACAACAGCTGCCTTTGAATGGCGCAAACAAGCAATCTAAATACGACGATATACATTTTAAAAAATTTCTAAAAACACAACAAAAGGTTAATGATATGCTTGAAAGAATTTTAGCTACCAAGACCCAATCTGATGGTCCTCGCAGTGTCGAGACTCCCACATAAATTGTATCTCAAAGATATTGTAATGTCAATAAAATTATTAAATAATTGCTTTATGATTTTATACATGTACATAAAATCTTGGTCTTAAAATATATATTTTTTATATATGCATTTGTATTAACCTAGATCAATTCACACAGCGCCATCTAGTCCTAAGCTAAGTAGAGCTTATGTTATGGGTACTTACTTAACAACTTATATAAATACTTTTTTATTGTAAAGCCAGATCGATACAAACTCATAAATAAAAATCATACTCATTCTTGAGTACAAATGTTTGCCTCGTACGAGAAATCGAACCCACGAACATTGAAAGTAAAGCGGTGTGCTAAACCGCTAGACCGAGGCTGTATTATTATCCTGATGCATGGAGATGAATAAATAAACATCTGCATGAATCGAAGCAATCAGCGTTTCACATAGGACAGGTTACCGTTATCCCGATTCATCATAGTCACAAGCAGATACAGTTGCTGGAAGAAGGTAATTAACTAGGGCCACCTTTTACATTCTCACCTCTTGCTATCGACAGAGAATTCATTTCCACTCGCTGGAAGTGCGGTTTCAGAGGAACTTCGTCCCGCTTACACTTAGATTGTGTCTACCTGCCGAGGTTTTCTAGAGAGACTAATGCATAGGGTTTCTCAAAAAGGGTATATTAAGGTATATCAAGGGTCGGCAACGCGCACGTGTTGTGTTTCAGGCGTTCATATGCTGCCATAGTGATAGTGTAATAAAAAGTTAAAATTAAATCTGACCTGAGAGCCTCCATGTTCTGTGTCGATGTATCTCGGTACTGGGAACCGGCTCTGCAGAATCTCTTGTGCGTCGTCTATTGGCGCCCGTAGTAATTGCGCAAAGCTCTCATATTCCGGCATATCTTGGTAACGGAGAGCACGCCATTGTGCTATTGTCTGTTAATACCAATAACAAATGTATAATAATAAATGAAATAACAAGGTCATTGGTAACCACAAGAATAGTATTCATGATTAATGGGCTAATAACTGTAATGACTACATACGAAGTAAACGAAGATGCTTGTACTATGGGTACTAAACAAGTAATATTGAAATACTTTTTTTTGTAATAATATACATAATATATATAGAAAATTCCGATACTAATCTACAGAGTTATATATATATACTTGTTTATATAAACTTGTGTACTTAGCCAGGATTTTACTCCCTTCCATCTTACGTTTATTCAACATGTGAAACCACTACCACGAAAGTAAAGAAATACTTTTATACGAAAAAGACTTTAATATTTATTTTCTACCAATATTTTTTATTATTTATATATTTAGAATAAAGTAAGCCTACAGAACTATAAGGGACCTTATTAAAAGAATTACCCAAGCCCTATCTAATAGACAGACATGAATAGCAGTAAATTAAACTGTAATGAAAAATGAGTCAGAGGCATTTGCCCACATTTCACTCGATATAATTTAAACGAAACGTGACAAAAGGCCGCCGTCTCTCAGATTAATTTTTGGTTGATATTGTTGTTCATAATGTTCCAGACAGAGTCTTCTTCAGACAGAAAAAAAATAAGTTTTATTAGTTATTTATTACAGCCCAGTTTTAATTATACGCTAGCTGTACACGCGCGGACTTCGTCCGCGTGGAATTTAACTATATTTTTCAAAAATAAAAGTAGCCTAAGTTAATCCTTATTACATCAGCTACCTGCCAAAAAAAGTCCCGTCAAAATCGGTCCAGCCATTTCAGAGATTAGCCGGAACAGACAGACAGACAGACAAAAAATGTAAAAAATGTTATTTTGGGGTATGTACCATATTTATATTCATATGCAGGTAGTAAAAAACAGTTACTTCAATATTACAAACAAACATGGAGTGTCTGTTTGTAATATTGAAATTATTTATTTATATATATAAATAATCAGGCTAGATACATTATTACCTATTAATGAATCATATATATCTAGTATAGCAACGAACCTCTCCATGGTAGATCAGTATTTGGAAGAATGTGTCCATAAGGAGAATGCGATCTGGTTGTATGGAAGAGGTGTCAAGCAGCACCGGCTCCGGTGGACCCTCGAAACTGTATGAGTACAGGATCGGCTGAATCATGATCAGCGACTGAGTCAGGTCCTCACGCATCAGCATATGTCTACAAAAAGTAATGTTTTAATTACACAAATATAAATTTAATAACAAAATTCAGGTTCTATAAAAAGCGATTGTGTAATGTAATTGAAATGGCATATAAATTGACAGCTCATCTGATGGTAAGTTGTAATCGTCGCCTATACACATGGAGTTATCAGGTTGTCATGTGATACAATCAATTGGAAAAAGTTGCTAAAAGTGCAATTGCAGTTTGTTTGCGAGGTTGTATTTACCAGAACATATGAAGCCTTTTTGATTTTAATAATATAATTTTACTGAAATCTTATTCATATTTCTTTCAAATTTTTTTAAAGCAAATTGCGATATTCTTTAATTCTATATGTTGTACCTGTAGAAAGTGGTCTCATCTGGTGAGTTGTTGAACACTTGTAAGAACTGTGAGCGACGTAGATGATACATGAACTGCGGGTACAAACTAAAGTTCTCTGATAAACGGAAGCTGTTCGCGTCATCCTTGCCGTACTCGCCAAATTTCTGACACTGTAATAAATATAAAAAAATGTATATAAAAATGAATCCCTATTCCCTATGGTCAAGGTATAACATAAGTGTTTTAAAACAAATCCATTTGAAAGTTCTAATCTGAATTCTACAGTTTGCAGATGCAAACTAGAATTCAGATGCATATAGTTATATAGTCATAATTTCAATATTTTATGAAATAAGAAACTATTACAACTTTTAGGTCAATAAAGTTCTAGTCGGAGAATTTATTTTAGTCAAATGTAATATACTACTATTATACTATATTATCAACCACTTTATGATCAATTATATATTATAGTTATACTTAATTGGCTATTTCTATATTATTAAATACAGTTCGATTTCCGTTATAAATACATAATAAGAATTCACTTACCAGTCTAATTAGCATCCTATCAAGCCAGCGCAATACATCGGGTCCATCTTCTAACTCAGCACGGTAGACCACCAGACGTGCCATAACTACAGCTGCCGCTTCTTGGTCGAAACCAGCCGCGATGTGGGGCAAGTTCACTGCAGCATCTCCCCAACTGTCGAAAATTGATTACCTCGCTCCATATACTGGTTCCAATATGTAGTCTAATGACATTATAAAAACGGCTACAGAGTAGTCCATTGCTCTTATACAGCCAAAAACTGTACCAGATGGAAGCAAATTGCGTGGAACTCTGTCGCCAAGGAGTACAACGAAGAGATACCCATCATAAAAGCCACAACCACTCTGCCAAGAGTGAATGCCTGAAGAAGAGTCTAATGTACAATGGGGCTATTAACTTATCAAATATATCTAAGAGTCTGTCCTGTTATCGCCATGGTTGATCAATATATTAATAAAATATTCGGTTATTTGACAGTATTCCTCTATGTAATTTTGTATTGCCAAAGAAACTGATTTATTTATATGTATGTCCTCTGTATGATATCACAAGAACAGCATTGTATGTTATATGCTAGGCATTATGCTTATAATTGTAGTGTGTAATAGGTGTTAGATGTTCCAACCAGAGTGAAACATTAAACTTTCTTGCTCATTTTTCTTGTAATGAGTATGCAATCCCAATGATTAGTAGATTAAATAAAATATGACTATTCAAAAATGCTTACATTTATTTGTTTGAATAAAGACTATTTCTCTTTATATTAATCTGTCTTATTAACCCTTTATTGTATCAAAATTTATTACAGCTTAAATATATTTATTATATCAGTGACTGGATATCATTATAGAAAATGAACAAAATTAAAGTGAGACTGACTTGCGTGCAATAGTGGTGACTCGAACGCGACGCTGTCCGCTGGAGTGTTGGTACTGCGTGATGAGTTGCACGCAGCCGCGTCCACCTTGGGGCACCGCTGCATGCTGATTCACCACCTGCACACAATTTTTTTTATACCATGATGATCACAATCAACCATACTAACCGCATAAGTAATCCAAATAATCTCTTGTATGTGTAACTTTCAACATAAGAACTAGAAAATAGTTCAAAATAACTATCTTTCAGCGACATGAATGTTGTAGATGGCGAATAAATACATTTTTTTAGTTTGAGATAGTTAAAATTGACTGTTGTTTTTTCAAATTTCAGTTGTAATTAATTCCTGATTTTACTGTCGGTAATTATAATCAACAGTAAAATTAACTAGCAATAAATATTTTTAGTGCTGTTTAATACCGCACTAAAAATATTTACCATCTACATCAAAATTAAAAAATATTATATCACCTCAAAGAATATGCCCATAGTGGTGCTTGGTGTAAATGTGCACATCTTCCATTGGCATGTGTTACCCATGCCAACTTCCTGGTCCGAGACACATGGGCCTTTCACATTTAGAGATACACAGGAACCAATCGCACCAGAAACTATAAGATGAAAATACTGTATTTTACTTATAGTCAATTGTAATATCATAAAATTAGTTACTTTTTTATCGTGTGGAAAAAATCTAATAAACAGTCTCCAATCAGACGAATGATGATACGGTGTATGGGATTCTTAACCATTAAAAAAATCCAGGATGTACCAACGAGCGCCATTGTCAGAGTCAGTCGGTCGCAGTAGCAATTTAGCGCGACTCCGGCAGCATAATTTTAGAGACTAGAATAACATTATGTATAGGTCAATCACCAAACGCATAATACTATGTAAATAAACTTTGTACAAAACCTAGTAAAGATTTATCTTACTTTTCAATTCTCGGCTACATTTAACTTCTAGAGTTCCATTAAATGCCATCTTGTACTCAGATTTCTGATCTTTGGCAAATACTCTCTGGAATGTTTGCTTGAATAGTGATGAGTTGAATGAATCACCCATGACCATGTGACCACTGAGTGAGAAAGTAAAAATGTATTAGTCAACAAACAACTGAGATATATATTATAAATCTGTCTGTATTCCATACAGATACATACATGCAAATATCGCTAATGAGGGAAAATTGTGTATCTCATAAGTTTGATACCAAATTTTTCCATAAAATTAATGGAAATATGACTTGAATAGAATAAACATTTTTATTCTATTAGTTTCCATAAGTTTTTGCATTGTAGATTGCATTTTAAAATAATACTACATATTAAAGATCTATTAATATTGGTCTAAAAAGATATATATCCTTACCCTGTTGAATTACAACATTGTTTCATCTCCATCAGACCAGTTTGATCCAGAGCACAAGAGTAGATATCAATAGAGTGGCCATTTGTGGCCGACCTCAATGACAGTGCCTCATAATGCTTAATTGCCTTCTTCATGTATTTTGCATTGTCTTTATGAATATCATGATGAGAACGAATCGGCTGTTTCAACTCATCATTCACAACCTGACCTGGGCCTTGAGAGCAAGGCCCACCTAGGAACAGCATAATCCTTCCACCTGTATTTGGGTAAGTCACTTCTAATAAACCAACAGCAAGTGATAATGCCACTCCGCTGCTTCGTAAGGGCCGTTTCCCTACACCAAGGGGCCATGGGTCACGACCAAGTTCGCCAAGCAAGTCTGTAAGAGCCATGTCACATTGTTTGACTGGCTGCAGGAAACGGTGAGCAGGTGGCTGGGCTGGTGGAGCTCCAGGACGCTGCTGCTGTGGATTTGGTATGTTAACACGACCAATAGCTAATTGTTCTTGTATCTGTTTGGCAGTCAAGTCTTTTGTTCCTTTAAAGACATAACATTTAGATATGCCTTCAGTACCTGTAAAAAAAGGAAGAATAGGACATTTATAAATGCAATCACAGGTGGTGGAGTAATTAGAGGCATTGCTCAATTATCATATAGTTGTATTGAACACAACTGTTTATATATTTATATCCTGTATATATTATTTTATTTATGTATATTTTAGTTGTATATTATATTTATATATCTACTATATAGTTTTTATTGTCACAGTTTTTCGCCACTACTGCCCTACAACGCTTTCTATTTGTACCTAAAGGTTAGCAATGGTAGAGAATGCCATATGGCATTAAGTCTCTTGTAGCGCGGTTTCCATACAACGCCTTTTGTACACGTGTTTTTTGTACAATAAAGTATAAAAAAAAAAAACTGTTTAACAATTCAGGCAACATATTTAAAAACAAAGTCGAAGAGTATTACTCAATTGCCATATCATTGAATGGTTGATGACTTAGTGATTGTGACACCAGTCTGTATTGAGTAATTTATCACTAACACACATATATTAAAAAATAACTGAAACAAAAGTATAAATAGAGATGCAAAACTTTTCCAATCTTCAAGTCATCAATAAGGTACTTATATAATGTATCCATATTGTACTATTTTAAGTAGAACTTTATTACCATTACTGCAAATTTTAAAACACAAAATAAACCAATATATATACATATATATAAAACAATACAAAACTATATAACCTGAGAGTAAAGTAGTTAAATTACAATATATACTACTCAAAACAAAATAACTTAAATTTTCTTGTATTTTTGTAACATAAGCTGTGTATTTCAATAAATTTTGATTCAAATATTTGAAATGGGTTCTTTAAATAATGTTGGATTGATTATCATTTGTTAAAAATTTGCATTTTTGCAAAATAATGAGAACATTAAGAAAAAACAATGGATCGAAACAATAGTAGTGTTTGTTTATTAGTGGCCCTTATTTTATTTTGAGTAGTATATTTTAAACTATGTGCATTTTAAGATATACACAGCATATTATACCACATACCTAGTTCATGAATCTGCACCATTCGGCCAAATGTAATTAAGCCAACTAGAGCATTCTGTGGCATAAGACTCAATGATGTCTGTAGAGAATCCTTTAATGCACTCAGCTCCTCCTCATCAAGACATGTGTCAACCACCAGTAAGAAGATTGGTGGCATAGTTTGAGCTCGAGTAATTGTATATTCAATGGTGGAGAAATTAGGTATTAGTTCAGCTGGTTGATGCTGTTCTGATATAGCAGCATATTGTGGGGGAAACTGAAAAAAAAATAAACATTTATATTCTTCATTATCTTTAGTTGTATTATTAAAAAGGTACTATGATCATAATAAATGATCTTTAACTTCATACAACATAAATATTTTAATAATAATATATTATAAGAATATGATTGAAATAGATAATGCCATAATAGGCATTAATGAAAGTTATTGGTTATTGTAGTAGACTATAATCAGTGTTTTAAAATTTTAGAAAGTGAACTCTGTATCAACCTTTTACTCTATCTAAATATACACTAAAATCATCTTAAACTTAAGAATTACAATGCCAACACCATAGTAATACTTCAATAACACCACATTATTACAATGAAATTATAAATTTCAATATCCCCAAAGAGCATAAATATGCCATTATGAAAAATTATATATATCCAGATGTCAAACATACATAAAAACATGTATAAATAAACATTTAGTCAGTCTTTGAAACAGGAACAAAGTAAAAGTCAACTGATTTACCTTTGAAGATACAATATGTTAAAAAATATTCCCATACCAAAATAATGAATATATACTTACAGGGTTTCTTTGAAAGCAGAAGTTGCATACCCATAATTTGGCTCTGTAATCAACCTGACACATAGGGTTTAAGATGGCCCGGCATGTATTACGGGTACACAGCACAGGTTCATACTGAATAGGTGGTAAGTCTGGGCGCTCCTTTAACGGCTGGTAAAGACATGCTAAAGGTACAACAAGTCTAGTTGCCTCGATTCTGCTGGACGGCCACACATTCCATGTGAACCGAATGCCGTCCCTATCCTCATTGTTCTGTATAAATTCTTCATATGTCGACATATTGCTGGTCTGCAAAAGTATCGCCTATAAAAACACTACTGAGATGACTTATGAAAACATAACATTTATAGAAATTATACATACCAAGAGTACATTCGGGTACTATAAATAGGCCAGTTATGCAAAGTATCGCGCTCTAATTAGGTGTTCATTCAGAATATTTTATATTTCTAGGTAATTAAAAAAATCCAGGAGTCGAAAGTACCTGGCTGATTTGGCAATTGTCAAATCAAAAGTTCAAACCGTAGACAAACCGCTGTCATGATAGCCACGTCATTTTTGAAACGTTACTTATCTATTGGATATTACAACTGGAATATTTTATATATATTTAAATATTTAATATGATTTTATCAATATTTTAAGATGAACTGTCAAATTAAACGTCGAATTATTTTATATTTTAAATAAATGTGTATTTTATTATCCAAACATTATCTGTAGTCTTGACATCGACAAAAGTAGAAGATCCATAAGGTTGTTCGGCGTCCATGTCTATGGTACTAACTAACGCTATTCCATTATAAGCTTACAAAGTTTGTATTAAATCTTTATGTAAATTATAAATCTCATAAAATTAAACTAATATTTACTCAATATTAGTTCTTAAAATCTGTTATTTATTTTCTTTACATAAAATACTTTCTGTGTATTTGATATGTAAATATAGCAATGGTCAATTTTTTTTTTAAAAACCGTATCAATACGTTTCTGCGTGAAAACAAAACGTTCGTGAATGAAGTTTTTTTTTTATTTTTATGGTATAGTAAATTAAATTTCTATTATGGACATTATTTATAAAATAACTCACATTGTAATTTAAATCAACAATCTTTTTGATACAATTAGTGCATATGAAATTAAAGACATGACATTGCTTTGTTACAAGAGCAGGAACTTTACGCCAAAAAGTGCGACTGCGCACTGGCCAAATTAGTAGTGTGAAAGAAAATGGCGATCAGCGAAAGGCGTCCGGAGTTAACGTGATGAAAAACATTGTTAAAAGCTCAATTACATAGTGTTATAGTTATTAATTGTGTCAGATGTAGATTAATTAAGTGTTAATGAATAGTGATTGTGTATAAAAATGGCTGCGAATATGTACAGAGTCGGCGGTAAGTAGCAATAATTGGTTATTTTTGTTGTAGCTTCGCCGGTTCACCGCCAGCCGACTAGCGGTGCTTTGCTTTGATTGTCGTACCTTCATTAATTGTTCACATTAATTAGTTCAGTAACGTAAATTCATTTATTTTCTCTTACTCTTTTTGTTATTAATAACATTTTGTCCATTTCGTATCGCAGTTCAACTTCTTTTGCCGGAAAGTTACTTTTATTTTACCAAATTTCGTCAAATAGGACATTAGCATTTGCATCTAGGTATCATTGTATCGGCTTGCGTATCTGCGTGCGGGTGCTTAGACATGAATTTCTTTCAGTTTCCCATTAATGATTATGCATTTTCAGACTTATTTGGTGATGTTTAGATGGGTTTGACATGAGATTTTAGGTTATAATTGATGTTGTCAAAACATTTTTGTGTGGGATTGAGACGTTTGGTGGTGGCGGTGGTGGGTTAATTTGGCTTTTCTTGGGAATCGAAAGGGCCTGGTGGTAGTATTGAGGCTTTTCATTGCATGTGTTGATTTAATTAGTTAATGCACCGGTGTCTTTAACCTGCTAGTCGTTGAGAGTATTGTCGCGAGAAACCTAACTGCCTCATGTACTTGTGCCGCGCTCCGCGGACCGCGATCGCCGCGTCGAATGTTAATTAAGTCTTCCTTTTACGTTACTTCCTATCATATTTAATGTCATTCGATATATGTGCTTTGTTGTGTTGTCTATGATAGTTTCAAATAGGTGTCTATTATAATTTGATTATGAAAATAATCTGTTTTAATAATTATACTCATACTTAAATAAAAGAATTTTATATTTTTCTTGTGGCCTCAAAGTGCTTGCATATGTAATACACTTATATCTCCAACAAAGAGTATCTTGACCTACATTCACTACCTTGAGGTTTTCTTTAGCAATGAACTTTCATTGACATAAAGCTGTACTATCTTGAAACATTACACTACCATTTATTAATAACAAGATACAACTATAAAACATTATTAAAATATAACACATTACCACATTTTATTAAGTTGGGTAACTAAATTATCTATGTAAATAATAAAAATGTGTAACATTACATATTTATTTTTATATTTGTAGGTGCAAAGTAGGTAGTCCATCTATGTATTGATAAGAGCTATGGAAAGATAATATGCCACCAATAGGTATTTATGTAATATTTGCAATATATACATTTGTGTAAGCACCTAAAGTGTGTGTTTACAAATTAAATTATGAATACTGAAAGTCATGACTTATATACTAAACTAATAATATTGTATTGGAAGTAGTTGTTTATGTTGCAAATATTAAAACTTTTTGAAATATCACTATTTCATTATTACAGTATTAAAAAATCATGAAATACACTTAACTCTATAAATGAGTGTGAAATGTATTGACTTTATAATTTGTTTATTCTCTTCATATGATAGAATTATGTAAATAATACATCATCACAATGAAAAACTTTGATAACATTATACACAGTTACACATTTCAGTAATGAATAAAATTATCACTTATCATAAATTAGTATAATTGATACAAGATAACATTAATTAAATATTTATATATTATAATAATACTTAACTATTAATACACTAAATGCACAACAACTAATGTAGGTATATTAATTTCTAATCACTGTCTTTCATAATAAATTATAAAAATAATGTGATATTCATCACAATATTTATTTAATTATTATTACATTTTGCTACTATAATAATAATGTGATGATAAAGTGTAGGGAATTACATATCATTATCATTATCAAGTACATATACGTAATTGTGTATTTTTTGTTATGAAATATAAAATTTTGGTCGATGACTGAGAACAAACTAAAAAGTTAAAAAAATGTCCATTACACAACACAGAGAATTAGAAAATACTTCTAGTGTAGTAAGCAAGTAAGGTCAAGCAAGGTTTATGGTATCTGTAATTATAATAAAAAAACATTTTGCCATATATTTATAAATATTTTTTAAATGTAAAACCTTTTGTTTTGATATTGTAGTAAATTAAAAAATATGTTTTCCAATTTGAATATTTTTTAATAAATAGATAAATAATATTATTTTACCAATATGTTTATACTTGGTGTTGATATCTACTTTATCTATGTATCTTGATATCAGATCTTTTATAGAGTAGATACAGTAAAAGAGATTCAAGGGTAAAAGACCTAACCAAGTACAGTACAGTGTATAGAAAATACTTAATATAATTTTCTCAAAATTTACATGAGGTAAATTTTTAATGAACTGTTTAAAAATGGGCCAAATATAAAAACAAATCTCAAAATAAAAAATAGTTGTAATGTATTAATAAAAAACATGTAATCAGATTGGTCTAATGTAGCATATATATATGGTATATAGTCTAGACAATGTGATACAGATTGAGCCCTCTATTGTATGATACTTTTTAGAATGCAGAGGTCATTGTTATATGGAAGTTATGAATGACGTTGATTAATTATTAACATGCAAATACTTACGAAACATTGCACCGTGGTGCCTTTCATGAGCTAATAAAAACGTTACTTCCTAAATATTGTTATTAAAACAGGAAATAATTAGTTGCGCGAACAAAACCGCGGATAACAGCTAGTCTAAATAATTAGAATTAAGAAATGTTCTCTGCCATAGAATTATCATAACAGTTTAGTACATATTGTGTGATACATTATATTGTATTCATTTCTACTTGGGTACATATATTATTTCACACTAACAACTGACAAGTTTATTTTTTTAATTATGTGTAATATACAATGTGTTCTCTATAATGAGCATCTGGATATTTGTACATGGCCTTCAGTTATGTGAAAGTAAAAGGTCACTGACCTGTCCGGTATATAAGACTAGATTGCAAGTTGTTGCCTTAAATTTACAACTACAGAAATGTTACATCATCATGGAATGCTACCATAGTAGTTGTAGATAATTAAAGGAGATATTTATAAATGTATGACACTTTGATACAAATAAAGTGTGAAATATCAGTAAGTCATTCTATATGGTTAGATAAGTTTGTTATCTTTGATGTTTTCGGTGTTAAAATTTTAATTATTAATTACAGACAATATTTACGTAATTAGTCGTTTTGGTGGTTTAGTAGTTTACTATTCCAAATCAAGATTGAGATCGTCGTTTCATTCTCGACCTAAACTTCAACTCAATATAATTTCTAAAATTCATAATGTTTCGCCATAAAAAAGTCACATCATTCTTATCCTTTAAAGATTAGATCTCTATTTACAATTATAAAGTGTTTTTCTATAATAGGTCGCCACTCCACAAACTTCCTTATAGACTGTCTTTCGACCTCTGTAGCAAACCTGTCAAGACATACATCCGTACCTTATTTGTATTATCTCAAGCTGTAAAATTCATATCCTAGCAATAATCTTGTACACTCTTACGAATATCGTATATCTAATTAAAGATACGAGTGGAGAATTCTACAGACCCTAATATAACAATTAGGTATCTTTTCTATTGCGCCAATATGTATAAATTTACAATAAAGGCATCGGCAATAAATCTGGTGCCGTATTCTGCATTATTTTAACTGACTTCACAAATGTATTTAGTGAATATCAAAATAAGTTGCAAACCACAATATTTGCACAAATTTCGGTATATTGTTTTTTTTTTTTAGTTCCGGCAAACAGTGACGACTCTTTAATGATAATATTAATTAATAGTTGTTTTGTATATCAATACAAATTCTTTTTCGCAGAATCTAACACTATCAAATTTTAACTTCATTCTTATGTAAAAATTGCGTTTATTATGACGCTTAATCAGCTCAGAGAAATTCGTTCTTGCAATTATTATCAGAATTTATAATATGGCTGTGTTCTAAGTTAAAAATATTAGGTATCGTAAAAAATTACCAACAAACGAGTAGCTAACAACCAATATTTATTTTGTATTAACCGAGGTTAATATTGTAATAAGTCGTCTCCGTGGACCTCAGTCACATCTATTACAGCGGTCAAGCGCGCTAAAAAATTGTTATGTCCCACTTGAAGTCAGCTAAAACCAATTAGTCTAGAATATGATCTAGCTGTGTACTATATCTTGAATCCGTCCAGTAGTTTTTTAAAAAAGACAATGAGCATCCGTACTAATGAACTCTCGCCTTTACAATATTAGTACTGTATAACAATGTGATACTTTTAAGAAATATTTATTACCAATTCATACATTTGAACACTGATTATTGTATTGATTTTCCTCTTAATGTCAATATACATACTTAATGACATACACGCATATTCGACGATTACAAATTATGTATATTATATTAATAACATAGACATCTATAATACTCAAGACACAATGTGCTCTATATACAGAACAATGACCTGCAAGCACTATCTACATTAAAAAAAAATAAACATGTCATATGACAACTCAAAATCTAAAAATGTTGCATTAAACAATAATAATATATTTTATTTATTTTTATCGACAGAATTTACTTCTCTGCTAGTTATTTACCAAATTGATTGCTACAACGCACACGTGTTCGTACAAATACTTGGCTCACACCGAGGAACGTTTGGCCCTCCGCAGAGAAAGTCTCCCTAGTCTGGGCAGGCAGTTTATGTAATGTACATACTCTAACTTAACTAGATCTGACATATCCAGGCATATATCGGATATGTCGTAAATTACCTTATGATCGATTGAACACATATAGGAGCAGCAGGAGTTAACTAGAATTACAAATAGGTAGCAATGATGTCGAAGGCCCTTGACATTGCCCTTGGTACAGTAGTCAGGATCTACTCGAACAAAAGTTGAAGTGTCCTTTGCTGTGGCCTCTCACATAAGTTCAGAGAATATATCGAGGTCACTAAAAACTGTGCATTCATTGAAAAATATAAATTTTCGGTATGTCATACCAATGGAATTCACAAATAAAGTATAGATAGATTGCTGTTTGTTAGTCTTATACGCAAAAATTACTGGATGGATTCTAATTAAATGTAGAACACAGATAAATCATATCCTACATCACCATTCTTTTTAATACGTTTGTAATATGACGAAATATCTACGATAATAGTATTTATCCCTGTGGTCCCAGATGGACAGTTTCGTATTTACAATTTAGACCTAATAATATTGACACAACTGGAACAAAGTAATCACTTATGACATCACGATACAAGTTGTATGGTCAACGAACCGAAATGCTCACATATTCTTTTTTTATTTACCTAACGCTACGGCTAGTATTACAAATAACAAATTCGTAAATATCTGAACCAGCGCCTTAATGAAATAGTAAATGACATGGTGTTATTTTAGAAATATATTTTGTAATTGTACGGATAATCGTAATATTTTAACAAAAAAGTATTGGCGAAGATATCGTGTGACTTACGTATTAAATTAAATAAGTCCATCAAATTTTATTCTAAATTTGTCAATTGGTTTAAATGTGTTAATTGTAAATATAACGTAGATCCTATTAGTATTTGCTAAAATTATTGTTATTACTATTATTATATTTTAACTAACTGTCCCCAGGACTATTCTAAAGCAACGATCTTAATAATATTTTTATTTAGTTTTTAAAATTGGTCTATTTTATTAGTTCGCGTATATTTAAAAGCGTAGTCATGCTTGATCCGATAAGATGTAGTCACAGAGAAACGATTATGAAATAAAATACAATACCACATATAGTTTAATCAGCAATCGATTAAAGGGTGGTGGCCCTTAATTATTAATCCAAACACATATTGATGTGCTTGCGAGTTACAGAGCTGTTTTTGGCAAGTATGCCTTAAATTTAATTCGTGAATGTTTTATTAGAAATATACACAATCTGACTATTAGCTACACAATTTAGATAAGATACCGTGTATTGAACATACGTAGATAAAACTAATAGGTACTAGGTACGTGATTTTTAAGCGAGATAATTCAATCATTCCCGCCCTCTTGCGATGACGTGTCCATTCTAAATTTACTTATACACTTACTTATTGACACGTTCCAAAAATACACCAAAGTCTTGGCAAAACTGAACGGGCGTTAACATCGCTATCAGCCGCATAATGCCCCAACTTACGCATACATAGCCACAGATAGGTATACGTATCCGCCACACTCACATTGCCCTATTATGTATCTATGTAGATGAACAAATACGTCAGAGTGTATAGCTACTTTATACCTATCAATATAAGTACGCCATACGCCATACATATAAATGCTTATAATCGTGAGTCGTTCTTACGGCCGCTAGATTGCCGCGCGTCTGCAACTCTGCACTCTACATTTTACCCAGGAATTATATACTTAGTCCATTTTGTTATCTATTGCAAATGTTTATAGGATATTTTATATAAAAGACATTTTTTAGACTTTTGTATTGTTTTTATAAAAAGTCGGAGCGACCAGTAGCCGAGATTGCGAATTTATGAATAATTTAGTCATGCCCCATGATGTTGACAAATGATGATCGCCAGTTCTGAATACATTATTTATTTCGGAAACAACTTCATATTTGTGTTATAAGGGTTCTATCTAACTGTTGTTTTAAAAAAATCTGTATTTATTGCATGCTTTATTTACATCAGTTTTTGGAACATATCATTATAAACCATTGTGTCCAACAGACAAAAACGAGCGGTTCTTTGCAGTTATAACACGTGGATTCGTGTCTCATCGTAAGTTAATTTTAGCTCACCTTGTGATCGCACTATAATGGAAAGTTCCGCCTGAAATACGATATTAAAAATCCACGTGATTACCGCGAGAGATGATCATGTTAATTGAGTAATTATTTTACATGTATCTATAATTCATTATATTCTTTTAAAACGGTATTATATGTCTATTTATACACCAGTACTAATCTATGGTAGGAAAAGAGTAGTACAGAATGCCCCGCGTAGCCCCGCTCAGCTTACTTCATCTGCTCTCTTAGTTCTAAAAGAATCCGTATATTTTCAGTTAAAATATAATTATTTAAAATGCTGAAAAAAGTTAGAAATGCCGTAGCCACATTATTGTACCTACATAATTTCGTCTCGTTTCGTCCTTTTTAAAACTACAATTCAAGCAACGGGAAAATCTTATGTTTTTTTTATAATAGCTAACCAGAATGGCCCTATCTTGATTGATGGCAAGGGACCACATATGAAAATCGACATCATGCTATCCAGTGATGTAGTGACGATTGTTATCTTAACAACTTATGTCTTTTCACGTCCTGCTTAAAAACTTCAGAATAAGACTTAGGGACAAAATTTGTATTTATTATAATGTAGAAAGTGTACGTAAAAATATAAAAGTATATTCTTCATCATACTGTATATTATTTTCTATTGCATAAATTAACTACTATTAAAGGCGGGGAAAAAATCTACTCGACACATACAATGAAAGGCCAAATCGACATTTCGTTATTCAAGATGAGGAGTAAAAGTGCCTCAACCTCAACCTAACTTTGTCATAAGATTAATCGTCCAAAACTAACACGGTTACCCTACGCGCTCGTATTAAGTAGTTTAGAATAAAAGGTTCGAAGCATGTCATTATGTGTGCGCGTTATTTAGCTGTTGTGCTTAACGGTAAACAGCACCATTTACTACATGTTACAAGCCTTAGTGGACTGGTAAGTAACTCCACAGAGTATCTGTTCCGCTCCGAGGACCACAACACACTCCAAGCAGATAAACAAAAATTTAAATGGGGCGTTACTTATATTGGATAAATTCCATCTAACAAATATAATATAGTATAGTATTCATGTTTAACGATTGGTTATTTCTGAGCTATGAGATACTTACAGTCAATAGATAAAAATTACGGAATATATAATAGTATCTTGGTGATACGATAACTAAACATAAAATATAAAAGGTTCAACTCGAATCAATATATATAACCTTTTTGAATAATACTACTAGGTATTACAATAATTTTAGACATTGATTTTCCTTTTTATATTTAACTCAGTATTTGTATAATGTAAAGTTTTATTGCTTTTGTTATTGTTAATAAAATATATTTGTACATATTGATATATTACCACATTAGTCTCTATTTAATAAACAATTAAATTAATATATGAATTTCTGTCTGACATTTAATCGTTACTTCTATTCGTTAAAATAGGCTAAAAACCTATTTTATAGTGACTAGCTGTTTTCGAGTAATCCTTCTCAAGCGTTGTAACTCGCATGGATGTTTTTAGTCTTATAAAACTTGACCTTTAATAATAGATATTTTGCGATTTTGCAATGATTCTTTTGGAATAAATAAGTATATAGATGGCTATATACTTATTTTTCCAACATGGTACTATGAATCGTCACTGGCAAATTGTTTGTATATTCTATATAATTTTCTCTATAAAACGGATATTTTTCTCAATATCTGGTGTTTCGAATGATTTTGAATCAGTCTGTTATATGCATGAGTAAATTATGAAAGTGATTGAAGCAGTAGTTCTTTATAACACTATTAGCTAAAAATGTATCTGCTTTCATCTTAACTAACTTAAGGAATAGATAGTCTCTGACTGATAATCAATGAGAGGTTAAAAACTATGATTTATATGCCCTTGTCCTAACTTCAATTATTGATAAATACCTGACAATCACATAGTCAGAGTCATGTAAACAATGTGTATTTGTTTGTCAACAGACTGCGTCTATTTCGAGACGTCGCCGAAATCTCCGTACCAAATCCGGCGGATAGAGGAACTGAACAAGACGGCGTCTGGAAACGTTGAAGCAAAAGTCATGTGCTTCTACAGGCGGCGGGACCTGCCGAACCCTCTTATACAATTAGCTGATAAGCATCAAAGTGAGTACATCAAATATTTTACAAGCAGGATATATTACTGTTACCGCGAATGCTGTAGAATAATGAATGCTGTGTATTTTTTCATTAATTTGATTTTAATTTAATTTGTTTATAATGTCACATCACGTCTGTTGTATATCTCATGTTTTTTTCACTTAGAGTTTATTGTTAAAGAAAGTGGTATTTATACTAGTATTTATTACTAGTATGGTTCCTATTTATCAAAATATATGCTTTAAATATTAATTGTTTTTTTAATGAGACTGATCTTAAGCGAAATAATAAAAAGAATATTTTCTAATTTCTGTAACACCAAATCTAAACAAATATGTACATACGTCGTTTGCATACCTGCCCGTATTGTACGATCTAATTTTGATTTTTGCGTCATTGGCCAAGCCCATACGCCAAGCCTAATATTGGACAAATCGGCAATTGCTCTTTTCGTGAAATAATGAAGCTCTTTGTTTTTTATTTAATTTCTGTGTTTGACATAATTCTATAAATAATTTTCTCGTGAAAAGAGCAACCATTCAGATTCTGACTCGATTCAAGTGCATATAACTACATCTAAAAAAATCATCTTTATAAAAGACTAGCTTTTCCCGAGACTCTGTCTTCAACCGTTTAAGTTAAAAAATTTTAGTAACATGTTTAAATATGCTACAAACACGTATCGCCTTAGAAATATCCAAACATGAACGTAACAATATAGTTATCTAATCGATTTTCTTTTAACCCGATTAGTAGACACGTTGGTTTCTTAGAATATGGCAATATTGATCTAGCTATATTATTATCTTTTAAGTTCACGTGGTTCACTTGGTCTTTAAAATTATTGAGAAATTCAGTATTAAATTTTATTGATTCTGAATTAATTTGATTTTACACGCAATGCATTGCAACGTGATTCCTCGTGTACCTACTAATATTGTATAAATTAAATCTAGTTATAGTATGTTCTTGTATCTAGTAGTAGTTATGTTTTTTGTACTAAATCTAATATTATATCAAAGATTCTGTCTGGGCTATATACCAAAATCAGTATGTCTAGTGAATAGAGAATTGTCCTATGTCAACTTTTTGTGGTCAGTTTAATCTATACATATAAGTAAAATTGGAGTGTCTGTTTGTAATATTGAAATAACCGTTATTTACTGCATACATATGAATATAAATACGGTACATATACCAAAAAAACACTTTTTAAAATTTTTGTCTGTCGGTCTGTTTGTTCCGGCTAATCTCTGAAATGGCTGGACCGATTTTACCGAGACTTTTTTTGGCAGGTCGCTGATGTAATAACGAGTAACTTAGGCTACTTTTATTTTAGATAGATAATTTAAATAATAGAATCATTGAGTTTGTATAGAAATGCATTAATACCAGAAGTAGGTAGAGATAGACTGTAAAAGTAACATGATAACGTGATGTCTGTAGTGTTGTTAATGGACATAGGCGATAGTATACGCTTACCATTATGTGGTTCGTCAGCTTGTTGGCTATACCTATAACATATGAACTGTATCTTCACCAAAATAAAACGTACAACACAAAATTGCAGTATATTTAAAAATTATTCTTAAGATACTATAAGAACCCGATGTGTAGTGTCCTTTAAAAATGAAGTTTATAATTAGACAGTTTTTCTATTGATTTTAGTAACTGGCTAGTCACGCACGGCACTATGACTGAGGCGACACCGATTTACTTGTGAATATTATTCCAACCACATGCCCTCATCCCCTCGTCTATTATTACCAGGTGTAGCGTATCTGTAATAAAAAAATGAGGCGTATTACAATCGAATTAAACCACGTATATATGAAATTAGTTTCAATGCTTATTTTATCATTTTTATATTATTTTTTTATTTCTTATATTATTGATGATTGTTAAAAAATATATGAAATATATTAATAGCGGACGATATTGTTTTTAAAGGAGATACTGAAGTATTTAGTAAGATTTATTAATTGAATAATGTATTTTGTTGCTGATATGGAATAGAAGTAATTACAATTATGTAGGGAAAACAAAAATTCGAATGACAATAAAATATTTCATAATCTGTAACTCGTATGAGGAAGACGCAAGCTCCCAAATACCATATTAATAATACTTCTGCAATCGCCCCCTGATCACGTGTGCCCATGTGGCTTAACGCGTGTTTGATTCTTTTCTATAAATAGGTCGATTATCCATGAGACTTGTTACTAGGTTTGCTCAGCGGGTGTCTGGAATACACGATCATTACATGTGTCAATTCCATATCTTCATACTGCCTGATCGAAGGGAATCAATATATTTATTTATTGTTAACCAATGTTACCAAACGTATTCTTACAATCATAAAGGGTTAACTTTAAAATCGTTCTTTTGCTTATTATGTTTCTATGGTCCTATCAGTATATACGAGCAGTATACGCTCTAAATGCACAAAAATGTAGAATCAGAATGAAGTCAGATCAGTGGGTCGCAAAATTACTTTCCAATAGCCTTACATTTAAGTTGATCTGACATATGGGTACATTCGCTAACAGTATAGGGCCACTAGTTCTCTTTATTAAGAATACTTCCATTATGATATTTTACTAGTCAACAATTGTAACAGTACGATTTTCCCCCGACTGCCTCTACACGTGGCCGGTATATATGGATATTAGATGGTATATATAATTTTCTTTACCAAATTCCACGAATTGAAGTGAAATTTAATAACGACTGTTGAAACTGTTAAGATGGCGGGAGGCCGTAAAAAATGAATAGGTTCGCTACAACATGAACAAATAAAGCGAACTTCATAACTTGAGTTCGTTGTGTATCAGGTCATAAAAGACAAACTAAAGTAACCATTTTCTAAAAATCAATTAATTTAATAGCAAGCATTGAATTACGTACCGCTATTTGGTTTCGTGTCGCTTAAAAATTAAGGGCTTACTTTCTATTATGTTGCTTATTGTTGATAACTACAACACAATTTTCCATGTCGGCCATCGAATTGTTTATCGCGATAACGAGTTTGTAACTCACTTTGAAATCGATAGGTTGCTTCACTGTGTAGAGATCACGCAAGTCGACCTAGTCGGTCGCGCAGTGTCTATAAATATATATGTATATAAAGTTAAAAGCAGTGACAGATTAGGAGGTAGCTGAGACTACGGCTCGGAATTTCAAGATCGAATTTTCAAGTATTTGAGTTTGGTCTTGGCAGTCGTTAACTATTAAAATTGTTAAATCTTTATTATCATACATAATAACCTATGAACCTCCTCGTTGTTATGGGTTACATACCCTATCGGCCATTGATCGTCCCGTTTCTTACAGATAACCGGATCTAAACCTATTGACAAATAATATCTGTTTTCATATTCATGAACAAAATTCATTTACAGTAAACGAGAACGAACACGAAACACAAACGAACAGAACGAGACGAAAACATATATGTCTTTCTTTTATTTGAAATTTTATTTTATTTTATTATTCCAATTTAAACAAAATGGACTTATTTTTTTGAGTTATGATATTTTAGAAACGCAACGATACGTAATAATCGTATGATATATTTACTTTTTAATAAAGGAATATGTTATTGAAACTATAGCATTCTGAGCTACAGGAACTATTTATCTATAGGTATATCATATATTATGAGGTAGCATGAATTAAATAAGTCGTTTTTATCTGTAACGTTATATATAAATAATCTAATGTTTTATTGTATATACTCGCAAACACGTTACTACCTTACTCTTGGACTGTTCTTCTTAATCTACTTAGTTTTATTTTCTTGCATTACTGCCCTCTGCGCTTTATTTGTTATTTGAATCGAATTACGCCAGATAATCATTCTTGAAAATCAGCTATGGCAAATACCCCAAGCCTTACCAATGGTTGATGTTAGAAAAAAGTGATGCTTTGAAAAGAATCCTCCCCCAATACCTTTCCTTTACATTCAGTGCAATGGATACTTTAATTAATTCTTTATTAAGCTAAAAACATTCATTGCACCGATTTTCATTAGACGACCCTTCCTCCGAATCGGAATACGTACTGAGCGCATGTACAATTTTTGTAGTAGGGTTAACTAGCAACAAATCTGTGTTGCTTGAATCGAAATATTAATGTATACGTAAGTAGACGATAACTTCACTTATTCCTATAATGCTTTTTCAATCTAAAGTGTTTATCCTCTTACAGATCCTATACTAATTTTGTGGAATTGAAATCTGTTTTTATAGAACGTTTCGTAGTTTTGAATTTTATTTTTGATGTATTTTAATCTAATATAGTATTGTTTTTATAAAATGAATGACGAATGAATGAATGCAAAATCCTTTATTGTTTCTCTAATAGAAAATACACTATGTACAAATAGATAAAAAAACATAAAAAACGAGCCAATAATGGCGAGCTTATCACTTAAATAAAATATTATCATCAACCGGCTAGGTGAATTAAACATTTCTTTTATTAACTTTCTACTTTTTATGTGGTTTATCAGAACTGTTTATTACGATTAAGGCATATATATATAGTACTGTAAACAATTTTGATTACACTCAATTGAAATTTGACAATAGAAGGTACATAGTATAAATCCAAATTTGCAGATTAGAAAAGACCGTTATCGAATTGTATCGTGCACATCTTTTTACTTTTTGCCTAATTATTATATAGTAAGTAACAAGTAGAAAACGTGGACTTGACTTAACTGGATGAAAATGTATGTTACGTAAAAGTTCGGGAGTGTTGGTGCGTCCTCGACTGCTTGGTAATGACCCTGGAAGCACTGTGGATTGTAGCTGTTAACTTAAAATCATGGAATGACAATTTTATCTATTTTAACGAGAGAAAACATCAGTTGTAGCTACGATATATATCCGATATATATATCCCCTGTAGATCTCGTAAAACTCGTAATTTTTTCTCACATTTTAGTTTTTGTTAATGAACTAAACAACAACAAAAACTGTACACAATTTATTAAATTTTAC